ACACACTGTAAGAAATTAACCTAACTCTAGCAGTAACGGCCCGTCCACACAGCGGCGTGCGTTGAAAGCTTCACCATTCACTTTGAATGGGGTGACGTCACTTTTCGCCGAACTGCATTGTGGGAAGCGAAGCGGAGCTTTGCTGGCGTGGCTCGCTGCAAAAGTTGAGCAATGTTCAACTTTTGAAGCCTCGGCAGAAGCGTCAGCCAATCGAATCATATGCCAGTACAAGCTCTAGCCAATCAAACCGCTGCTTGTGTGTCAGGGGCGGGAGATTCATGTGATTGGTTGTTGGTCGAGTTTCAGACACGCCCGCCAGCAAGCTTCAACGCACGCCACTGTGTGGACGGGCCGTCACACACTGTAAGAAATTAACCTAACTCTAGCAGTAACACACTGTAACAAATTACCATAACTAACAAATTACCATAAATCAAATCAAATCAAGTTTTATTTATAAAGCACATTTAAAAGCGATTTTTGGTCGAGCCAAAGTGCTGTACATGTAATAAAAACACTTTACTACAATCACAATAAAAGACAATACATTACAACAGATATATATAAAAATAAAAATAAAACACAAGGAAAAGTCAGGAGTCGTGCTCCGCTCTAACTAGAAGGCCAGAGAGAAGAAGTGTGTTTTTAGTGTAGATTTAAAACCCCCTAGGGTCTGGGCCGACCTCACATGGAGGGGCAGAGTGTTCCAGAGCCTAGGGCCAGCTGCTGAGAAGGCTCGGTGCCCTCTGGTTTTGAGCCTGGTCTTGGGCACTACCAGCAGCAGCTGGTCAGCAGACCTTAAAGCTCTGGCTGGGGTGTAGCGCTGGAGGAGTTCAGCGATATAGGCCGGAGCCAGCCCATTTAGGGCTTTAAAAACAAATAAAAGGAGTTTAAAATCAATTCTGAACCGAACTGGAAGCCAGTGCAGTGAGGCCAGAATTGGGGTTTTTTGTGGCCAGTGAGTAGACGTGCAGCTGCGTTTTGGACTAGCTGTAAGCGTTTAATTGAGGCCTGGTCCATACCCACATACAGAGCGTTGCAGTAATCCAGTCTCGAGGTTACAAAGGCGTTAATAACCCTTTCTAAGTCTTTAAAAGATAAATACGATTTGGTTTTGGCCAATAGTCTTATTTTAAAAAACTCTAGCAGAAACACACTGTAAGAAATTAACTTAACTCTAGCAGTAACGGCCCGTCCACACAGCAGCGTTAAAAAATCTTGAAACGCTTCTGCCCATTCACTTTGAATGGGGTGACGTCACTTTGCCTCACTTTTCGCCGAACTGCATTGTGGGAAGCAGAGCGGAGATTTTCAGGATTTTCAGGATTCAAAGTTGAGCAATGTTCAACTTTTGAGGCTGAGGTGGAAGCGTCAGCCAATCAAATCCCGTGTATGCAAATCTGACAGTTCAAGCGCTAGCCAATCAAACGGCGTGTAAACTGGGAGAGACATACCGCAGGTCATTTCCTCATATTCCAAAACATGGAGGAGAAATTAGCGGTAGGGAATCACCCGGTGCTTTATGACCAGTCCCTATTTACCTACCGGGATACAAACCGGAGGAGCCAGGCATGGAGGGAGGTGGCAGAGACAGTGGTAGGTTTTCTCCTGTTTGGGGAGTTTATATCCAGTTTACTTCGGGCTTTTTTGCTTCGTATGTCGGGGGCGGGAGATTCATGTGATTGGTTGTTGGTGCCTTGCTCGCAAAAAATCCCCAAGCTTCAGATACGCCCACCTCCAAGATTTTTTTAACGCTGCTGTGTGGACGGGCCGTTACACACTGTAACAAATGACCATAACTCTAGCAGAAATACACTGGAAAACACAAGAAATGTATAATGTTTAAAAATATATATTTTCTAAATTAATGCTTTAGAAACTTCAGAATAAAAGTTCAGTACGACAGGAAGTACTTCAGAATAAAAGTTCAGTATGACAGGAAGTACTTCAGAATAAAAGTTCAGTACGACAGGAAGTACTTCAGAATAAAAGTTCAGTACGACAGGAAGGATTCACTAAATGTAAACAACATAAGAAATGTTTTGAATATTAAATTATAAATGTGAATTTATTGAGAGCTGCTCTGATTGGCTGTCAAAGGTCAACTCCAGAATAACTCTTAAAGAAAATCTGAAATATTATTTTAACACAAACCTCTCAAAATACCTGGAGATTAAAAACATGAAAAACAAATTCAAGTTTTTTTGAGTGATTTCAAAATATCTCAGCTTTTATCTGAAAACATTCTAGAAACAATGGGATCCTTTTCTTAAGGTTAGTTTAGCTCAAGGTTAGTTTATTTGTATAGCACATTTGAAGACACAGAGGCAATTCAAAGTGCTTCACAGAATAAATAAAAACAAAACAAACACACCAACAAAAAAGACAATTCATAAAAGCGATGAAATGTCTGCAGCTCAAAGTGCAACGAGAAGGCAAAGGGTCTCAGGATAGCTGCACTCAAAAGAAAGGGTTTTAACCTTGATTCAAAATATAAAGATTCTTAAAGGTCCCCTATCATCCTCCTCTTCATCAATATATCACAGGTCTCAGATATATACAGAGCCTGTCTCTGATTGGCTGAAACACCAAACAGATCAAACAGATTACCCATAATCCCCTCTGTTTCAGCCCTGTTTCCAAAGTGCTGATTCTCTGTCTGTTACTTTAGATGAAAATAAGGAGCCCCTCTGAGAGAGATTAGGTGTGTGTGTGGGTGTCGGCGTTCTGGAGATTTCCTCTGAAGGCTTCAGTAGAAGCTGCTGGGAGTCCCAGCAGCTTCTACTGAAGCCTTCCCCAACTCCGGGGACTTCTGGCCGGGGACTCCGGGTGGCACGCGATCTGTACTAAATGCCCTGGGGTAATGAGTGACTTGAGATTCAGGTGATAAGGTGGGGGGGGGGGGGGTTACCTTGGTTGCTGATTGGCTAATGGTTACTCAAGACAAAACATCGTTATGACATCATAAAGTGGCCAAAATCTGATCAGCTCGTTTTCAGACAGGTTTTTATAGAAATGGATAAAAAAGAGAGAGAATCTTTGTTCCTGAAACTTTCAGAGTCTCTTTACACAGAGGGGACACATGATGATGAAGAAGAGACATGAAGAAGAGGGGACACATGTTGATGAAGAAGAGACATGAAGAAGAGGGGACACATGTTGATGAAGAAGAGACATGAAGAAGAGGGACACATGTTGATGTAGAAGAGACATGAAGAAGAGGGGACACATGTTGATGTAGAAGAGACATGAAGAAGAGGGGACACATGTTGATGTAGAAGAGACATGAAGAAGAGGGGACACATGTTGATGAAGAAGAGACATGAGAATGAAGAAGAGGGGACACATGTTGATGTAGAAGAGACATGAAGAAGAGGGGACACATGTTGATGTAGAAGAGACATGAAGAAGAGGGGACACATGTTGATGTAGAAGAGACATGAAGAAGAGGGGACACATGTTGATGAAGAAGAGACATGAAGAAGAGGGGACACATGTTGATGAAGAAGAGACATGAAGAAGAGGGGACACATGTTGATGTAGAAGAGACATGAAGAAGAGGGGACACATGTTGATGTAGAAGAGACATGAAGAAGAGGGGACACATGTTGATGTAGAAGAGACATGAAGAAGAGGGGACACATGTTGATGAAGAAGAGACATGAAGAAGAGGGGACACATGTTGATGAAGAAGAGACATGAAGAAGAGGGGACACATGTTGATGAAGAAGAGACATGAAGAAGAGGGGAACACATGTTGATGAAGAAGAGACATGAAGAAGAGGGGACACATGTTGATGTAAGAAGAGACATGAAGAAGAGGGGACACATGTTGATGAAGAAGAGACATGAAGAAGAAGGGGACACATGTTGATGTAGAAGAGACCATGAAGAAGAGGGACACATGTTGATGAGAAGAGACATGAAGAAGAGGGGACACATGTTGATGTAGAAGAGACATGAAGAAGAGGGGACACATGTTGATGTAAGAAGAGACATGAAGAAGAGGGGACACATGTTGATGTAGAAGAGACATGAAGAAGAGGGGACACATGTTGATGTAGAAGAGACATGAAGAAGAGGGGACACATGTTGATTGAAGAGAGAAAGAAGAAGAGACATGAAGAAGAGGGGACACATTTGATGTAGAAGAGACATGAAGAAGAGGGGACACATGTTGATGTAGAAGAGACATGAAGAAGAGGGACCATGTTGATGAAGAAGAGACATGAAGAAGAGGGGACACAATGTTGATGAAGAAGAGACAGAAGAAGAGGGGGGACACATGTTGATGAGAAGAGAAGATGAAGGAAGAGGGGACACATGTTGATGTAAGAAGAGACATGAAGAAGAGGGGACACATGTTGATGTAGAAGAGACATGAAGAAGAGGGGACACATGTTGATGTAGAAGAGACATGAAGAAGAGGGGACACATGTTGATGAAGAAGAGACATGAAGAAGAGGGGACACATGTTGATGTAGAAGAGACATGAAGAAGAGGGGGACACATGTTGATGTAGAAGAGACATGAAGAAGATGGGACACATGTTGATGAAGAAGAGACATAAGAAGAGGGGACACATGTTGATGAAGAAGAGACATGAAGAAGAGGGGACACATGTTGATGTAGAAGAGACATGAAGAAGAGGGGACACATGTTGATGTAGAAGAGACATGAAGAAGAGGGGACACATGTTGATGAAGAAGAGACATGAAGAAGAGGGGACACATGTTGATGTAGAGGAGACATGAAGAAGAGGGGACACATGTTGATGAAGAAGAGACATGAAGAAGAGGGGACACATGTTGATGTAGAAGAGACATGAAGAAGAGGGGACACATGTTGATGAAGAAGAGACATGAAGAAGAGGATTTTGTATAATAGGTGACCTTTAACAAAAGGTGTGTGTGTGTGTGTGTGTGTGTGTGTGTGTGTGTGTGTGTGTGTGTGTGTGTGTGTGTGTGTGTGTGTGTGTGTGTGTGTGTGTGTGTGTGCAGACGAGCGCGAGGCGGTGCAGAAGAAGACCTTCACTAAGTGGGTGAACTCTCACCTGTCCAGGGTCTCCTGCAGGATCTCAGACCTGTACCTGGACCTGAGGGATGGAAGGTCCCTCATCAAGCTGCTGGAGGTGCTGTCGGGGGAGAAACTGGTACACACTCTACACACACCTGACACACACACACACCTCACACACACTGCATACACTCTATACACTCTACACAACACACTCTACACACACCTGATACACACAGCATACACAATATACACCCTACACAACATCTACAGACCATCTACACACTGTACACAGAGATACACAACGCTCATCAAGCTGCTGTCGGGGGAGAAACTGGTACACACACTACACACACTCTACACAACTAACACTGTACACAACACACTCTACACAACACACTATACACACACTCTACACAACTAACACTGTACACAACACACTATACACACACTCTACACAACTAACACTCTACACAACACACTACACACTCTACACAACTAACACTGTACACAACACACTCTACACAACACACTCTACACAACACACTATACACACTCTACACAACACATTCTACCCAACACACTCTACACCAGGGGTTCCCAACCCCCGGGCCGCGGAGGTGTTACTGCCGGGCCGCGAAATAGCTGTGAGTTTATCGTAATATTTGCAGAATTATAAATATATAAAAATATTTTATCATAATGTTTTTTTCAAAAAGTGTTTAATTGTCGCACCTATGCCACCAGTCATATTATTTCATCCAGTAGCTAGTTCATCTTTCACCAGAAAACCGTTGAAAATGGCTTTTATGATGTCCCGAGGGATTCGGCGGCTCAGCCTATGGTCTCAGCCTCTTGTGCGCACGAGAAAGTTACCGGTGCGCCAAGTAGGAAGAGGAGCGCACAGGAGACAACCGCTTGATTGCAGACTGTTATGTTTATGTGGGGAAATGGTGGTGCATACATTATTTGAGATATATTTCAAACTCGGACTTCATTTTAAGGACATGTCGGCCAGGGGTGTAGAGCTATTTGCTTAAGCACCGGATTGGCAAAACAGGAGAGTAAACCAGTCTGCCTTGATCTATGAATTAATGTCCGGGACTCTCACGGTATCTGCTGCCCGCAGCTGCTTTATAGAAGGAAACCCGGTCCTTGGCACAATAAAGGTTGGGAACCCCTGCTCTACACAACACACTCTACACAACACACTCTACACAACACACTCTACACAACTAACACTGTACACACACTGTGTCTCTCCATGTCCTCCAGCCGAAGCCCACTAAAGGCCGGATGCGGATCCACTGCCTGGAGAACGTGGACAAGGCTCTGCAGTTTCTGAAGGAGCAGAGAGTTCACCTGGAGAACATGGGCTGCCACGACATTGTGGACGGGAACCACCGCCTGACGCTGGGCCTCATCTGGACCATCATCCTGCGCTTCCAGGTACCACCACCACTTCCTGCTGTACCACCACCACTTCCATGACTAATCTTGACTTTTTCACAAAATCTCAAAATTCTGACTTTTTCTCAAAATTCTGACTTTTTCTCAAAATTCTGACTTTTTCACAAAATCTCAAAATTCTGACTTTTTCTCAAAATTCTGACTTTTTCTCAAAATTCTGATTTTTTCACAAAATCTCAAAATTCTGACTTTTTCTCAAAATTCTGACTTTTTCAAAAAATAATCTAAACTCTTGACTTTTTCTCAAAATTCTGACTTTTTCAAAAAATAATCTAAACTCTTGACTTTTTCTCAAAATTCTGACTTTCTCAAAATTCTGACTTTTTCTCAAAATTCTGACTTTTTCAAAAAATAATCTAAATTCTGACTTTTTCACAAAATCTCAAAATTCTGACTTTTTCTCAAAATTCTGACTTTTTCAAAAAATAATCTAAACTCTTGACTTTTTCACAAAATCTCAAAATTCTGACTTTTTCTCAAAATTCTGACTTTTTCACAAAATCTCAAAATTCTGACTTTTTCTCAAAATTCTGACTTTTTCTCAAAATTCTGACTTTTTCACAAAATTCTGACTTTTTCTCAAAATTCTGACTTTCTCAAAATTCTGACTTTTTCTCAAAATTCTGACTTTTTCAAAAAATAATCTAAACTCTTGACTTTTTCACAAAATCTCAAAATTCTGACTTTTTCTCAAAATTCTGAATTTTTCAAAAAATAATCTAAAATCTGACTTTTTCACAAGATCTCAAAACTCTGACTTTTTCACAAAATCTCTAAATTCTGACTTTTTCACAAAATTCTGACTTTCTAAAGAAATCTCAAAATCTTGACTTGACAAATATCAAGACACAATACATGAGAAACATGTGTGTGTGTGTGTGTGTGTGTGTGTGTGTAGATCCAGGACATCATTGTGGATTGTGACGACAACAAAGAGAAGCGTTCTGCTAAGGACGCTCTGCTGCTCTGGTGCCAGATGAAGACCGCCGGGTGAGGCTCTACAGCTTGATAGATATAGCGTTTCCTGTGAGTGTGCGGCGTCTCTGAAAGGTGTGTCTGTTCCTCAGGTATCCAAACGTCAACATCCGCAACTTCAGCACCAGCTGGAGAGACGGCATGGCCTTCAACGCACTCATCCACAAGCACAGGTAACCTTTAGATAACTGACCTTTAGATAACTGACCTTTAGATAACTGACACAGGTAACCTTTAGATAACTGACACAGGTAACCTTTAGATAACTGACACAGGTAACCTTTAGATAACTGACAGGTAACCTTTAGATAACTGACAGGTAACCTTTAGATAACTGACCTTTAGATAACTGACACAGGTAACCTTTAGATAACTGACAGGTAACCTTTAGATAACTGACACAGGTAACCTTTAGATAACTGACACAGGTAACCTTTAGATAACTGACCTTTAGATAACTGACACAGGTAACCTTTAGATAACTGACACAGGTAACCTTTAGATAACTGACACAGGTAACCTTTAGATAACTGACAGGTAACCTTTAGATAACTGACAGGTAACCTTTAGATAACTGACACAGGTAACCTTTAGATAACTGACACAGGTAACCTTTAGATAACTGACAGGTAACCTTTAGATAACTGACAGGTAACCTTTAGATAACTGACCTTTAGATAACTGACACAGGTAACCTTTAGATAACTGACACAGGTAACCTTTAGATAACTGACACAGGTAACCTTTAGATAACTGACAGGTAACCTTTAGATAACTGACACAGGTAACCTTTAGATAACTGACACAGGTAACCTTTAGATAACTGACAGGTAACCTTTAGATAACTGACCTTTAGATAACTGACAGGTAACCTTTAGATAACTGACCTTTAGATAACTGACCTTTAGATAACTGACCTTTAGATAACTGACAGGTAACCTTTAGATAACTGACCTTTAGATAACTGACCTTTAGATAACTGACAGGTAACCTTTAGATAACTGACAGGTAACCTTTAGATAACTGACACAGGTAACCTTTAGATAACTGACAGGTAACCTTTAGATAACTGACACAGGTACCCTTTAGATAACTGACACAGGTAACCTTTAGATAACTGACCTTTAGATAACTGACAGGTAACCTTTAGATAACTGACACAGGTAACCTTTAGATAACTGACAGGTAACCTTTAGATAACTGACACAGGTAACCTTTAGATAACTGACACAGGTAACCTTTAGATAACTGACAGGTAACCTTTAGATAACTGACCTTTAGATAACTGACAGGTAACCTTTAGATAACTGACCTTTAGATAACTGACCTTTAGATAACTGACCTTTAGATAACTGACAGGTAACCTTTAGATAACTGACCTTTAGATAACTGACCTTTAGATAACTGACAGGTAACCTTTAGATAACTGACAGGTAACCTTTAGATAACTGACACAGGTAACCTTTAGATAACTGACAGGTAACCTTTAGATAACTGACACAGGTACCCTTTAGATAACTGACACAGGTAACCTTTAGATAACTGACCTTTAGATAACTGACAGGTAACCTTTAGATAACTGACACAGGTAACCTTTAGATAACTGACACAGGTAACCTTTAGATAACTGACACAGGTAACCTTTAGATAACTGACCTTTAGATAACTGACAGGTAACCTTTAGATAACTGACACAGGTAACCTTTAGATAACTGACACAGGTAACCTTTAGATAACTGACAGGTAACCTTTAGATAACTGACCTTTAGATAACTGACACATGTAACCTTTAGATAACTGACAGGTAACCTTTAGATAACTGACCTTTAGATAACTGACAGGTAACCTTTAGATAACTGACACAGGTAACCTTTAGATAACTGACACAGGTAACCTTTAGATAACTGACAGGTAACCTTTAGATAACTGACCTTTAGATAACTGACACATGTAACCTTTAGATAACTGACCTTTAGATAACTGACACATGTAACCTTTAGATAACTGACCTTTAGATAACTGACACATGTAACCTTTAGATAACTGACAGGTAACCTTTAGATAACTGACAGGTAACCTTTAGATAACTGACCTTTAGATAACTGACACAGGTAACCTTTAGATAACTGACAGGTAACCTTTAGATAACTGACACAGGTAACCTTTAGATAACTGACACAGGTAACCTTTAGATAACTGACAGGTAACCTTTAGATAACTGACCTTTAGATAACTGACAGGTAACCTTTAGATAACTGACCTTTAGATAACTGACCTTTAGATAACTGACACAGGTAACCTTTAGATAACTGACAGGTAACCTTTAGATAACTGACAGGTAACCTTTAGATAACTGACCTTTAGATAACTGACACAGGTAACCTTTAGATAACTGACAGGTAACCTTTAGATAACTGACAGGTAACCTTTAGATAACTGACACAGGTAACCTTTAGATAACTGACCTTTAGATAACTGACAGGTAACCTTTAGATAACTGACACAGGTAACCTTTAGATAACTGACAGGTAACCTTTAGATAACTGACCTTTAGATAACTGACAGGTAACCTTTAGATAACTGACCTTTAGATAACTGACAGGTAACCTTTAGATAACTGACCTTTAGATAACTGACCTTTAGATAACTGACACAGGTAACCTTTAGATAACTGACCTTTAGATAACTGACCTTTAGATAACTGACCTTTAGATAACTGACACAGGTAACCTTTAGATAACTGACAGGTAACCTTTAGATAACTGACAGGTAACCTTTAGATAACTGACCTTTAGATAACTGACACAGGTAACCTTTAGATAACTGACAGGTAACCTTTAGATAACTGACACAGGTAACCTTTAGATAACTGACCTTTAGATAACTGACAGGTAACCTTTAGATAACTGACAGGTAACCTTTAGATAACTGACAGGTAACCTTTAGATAACTGACAGGTAACCTTTAGATAACTGACACAGGTAAACTTTAGATAACTGACAGGTAACCTTTAGATAACTGACAGGTAACCTTTAGATAACTGACCTTTAGATAACTGACACATGTAACCTTTAGATAACTGACCTTTAGATAACTGACACATGTAACCTTTAGATAACTGACAGGTAACCTTTAGATAACTGACCTTTAGATAACTGACACAGGTAACCTTTAGATAACTGACAGGTAACCTTTAGATAACTGACAGGTAACCTTTAGATAACTGACCTTTAGATAACTGACACAGGTAACCTTTAGATAACTGACAGGTAACCTTTAGATAACTGACACAGGTAACCTTTAGATAACTGACCTTTAGATAACTGACAGGTAACCTTTAGATAACTGACACAGGTAACCTTTAGATAACTGACACAGGTAACCTTTAGATAACTGACAGGTAACCTTTAGATAACTGACAGGTAACCTTTAGATAACTGACCTTTAGATAACTGACAGGTAACCTTTAGATAACTGACCTTTAGATAACTGACCTTTAGATAACTGACACAGGTAACCTTTAGATAACTGACACACAGGTAACGCCCTCTGTTATCTGAAGATATCTTCCTGAGATGAGCGTTTAACGGGCGACTTAATGACATTTTCTTTGAGCTAAAAAAGTTGTTTAAATAAAGTTGTTTAAATAAAGTTGTTTAGATAAAGTTGTGTAAATAAAGTGTTGTTAATGAAGTTGTGTAAATAAAGTGTTGTTAATAAAGTTGTGTAAATAAAGTGTTGTTAATAAAGTTGTCCCCGTGCTCAGGCCCGATCTGATCGACTTCGATAAGCTGAAGAAGTCGAACGCTCACCACAACCTTCAGGACGCTTTCAACCTGGCGGAGCAACACCTGGGCATCACCAAGCTGCTGGACCCCGAGGGTGACTTCCTGCTCCCCTTCACAATAAGAGCCCCTAAAGGACTTTATATGTATATAGAGCGGTGCAGTGATGACGTGTTTCTGTAGTTCCCCCTGAAGCTGCTGGTCCCTCCACTAAAAGGATTTCTCCAGACGGTTTAGGAAAGTAGCTGGAAATCAGGTCTGTGGAAAACGAACCTGTTTGATAAATGCACCTTTTGTTCAGCCGGATAATCTCCACATGTCTACTTTCATAATGTTCTAATCATAACTCTAATGGCCAGAAGCTAAATGCTAACGTGATGCTATAAAGGAACTACAGGCGAGTCCAGCAGCACGACTTCAACGTCACGCCAACTTCAGATCCATATTCAAACACACAGATTCTAAATGGTACGAGTTGAAGCGTTCGTTTGAACACTTAGCAGGAGGCAGGTACTTGCTTTCAAGCAGAACAGGGCAAGCTAACTTAGAGGAGTGTTCACGTGTTCGGCGTAATGACGTACAACGACCTCCACGACTTCTGTAGTCCTATTCAGCCACTTGGTAACAACCATCGCTTTTCAGACACGTCAACTCTTCAGAAATCACCAGTGGGGTCACTGCTGATGGATTTAATGTCCTAGAACAAAACGTGATCCGTCTCTTTGTCTCAACCACAGACCTTATTTCAGCTATTTTCCAGAGCCTATGGAGAGATCCCATTGGCTCTGAGACCAGGGAACAGGAAGTGGTGAAATGCTGACTCACTTCCTGGTTTTAGGACTCATTCCTGCACCACTCTATTGGAGCCCCTGCAGGACTTTATATGTATATATATATATATATATATGTATATTTTATAATGTGTATTTGTTGCTCTGCAGACATCAGCGTGGACCAGCCGGACGATAAGTCGGTGATCACCTACGTGGTGACGTACTACCACTACTTCTCCAAGATGAAGGCTCTGAAGGTGGAGGGGAAGCGCATCGGCAAGGTCAGGAACCTTCAAAATAAAAGATATTAAGGAACATCCAGGAAACCTTCAAAATAAGAGACAATCGGGACCCTCCTCACAGGAAGTAGTTAAAGTGTGTTTCCCCTGCAGGTGCTGGAAAACGCCATAGAGACGGAGAAGATGGTGGAGAAGTACGAGTCTCTGGCCTCAGACCTGCTGGAGTGGATCGAGCAGACCATCATCATCCTCAACAACAGGAAGTTCGCCAACGCCCTGCTGGGGGTCCAGCAGCAGCTGCAGGCCTTCAACACCTACCGGACCGCGGAGAAGCCCCCCAAGTAAGCCCCCCACTACGATACAATACGATAGGATAACACTTTAGCGGTCAGATCAGGTCTGAGATGCTCCTTGCATCCCAGCAGCTCCATGTGTAACATCCCAGCAGCTCCATGTGTAACATCCCAGCAGCTCCATGTGTAACATCCCAGCAGCTCCATGTGTAACATCCCAGCAGCTCCATGTGTAACATCCCAGCAGCTCCATGTGTAACATCCCAGCAGCTCCATGTGTAACATCACAGCAGCTCCATGTGTAACATCCCAGCAGCTCCATGTGTAACATCCCAGCAGCTCCATGTGTAACATCACAGCAGCTCCACGTGTAACATCCCAGCAGCTCCATGTGTAACATCCCAGCAGCTCCATGTGTAACATCCCAGCAGCTCCACGTGTAACATCACAGCAGCTCCATGTGTAACATCACAGCAGCTCCATGTGTAACATCACAGCAGCTCCGTGTGTAACATCACAGCAGCTCCGTGTGTAACATCACAGCAGCTCCACGTGTAACATCCCAGCAGCTCCGTGTGTAACATCCCAGCAGCTCCATGTGTAACATCCCAGCAGCTCCATGTGTAACATCCCAGCAGCTCCGTGTGTAACATCCCAGCAGCTCCATGTGTAACATCCCAGCAGCTCCATGTGTAACATCCCAGCAGCTCCATGTGTAACATCCCAGCAGCTCCGTGTGTAACATCCCAGCAGCTCCATGTGTAACATCCCAGCAGCTCCATGTGTAACATCCCAGCAGCTCCATGTGTAACATCCCAGCAGCTCCGTGTGTAACATCCCAGCAGCTCCATGTGTAACATCCCAGCAGCTCCATGTGTAACATCACAGCAGCTCCATGTGTAACATCCCAGCAGCTCCATGTGTAACATCCCAGCAGCTCCACGTGTAACATCACAGCAGCTCCGTGTGTAACATCCCAGCAGGATCAGTGAGAGCTGCTCAAAGAGCCTTCAGCGTGCATCGGTTATTAGGGTCTGCTGAGGCAGAAAGTCTCTGACAGGGTATATACAATATACAGATATATATATATATATATATCTATAGATATATATATATCTGTATATATACACACAGCATCAGACTAACCGCTAGAGAGAAGCCTCCCAAGCACGTTCTCTGCACCTGTACCTGCTCTTCTATGGTTCTGTCTCTGCACCGTGACCCCCCCCTCTAACTGGTGTGTGTGTGTGTGTGTGTGTGTGTGTGTGTGTGTGTGTGTGTGTGTGTGTGTGTGTGTGTGTGTGTGTGTGTGTGTGTGTGTGTTGTGTGTGTGTGTGTGTGTGTGTGTGTGTGTGTGTGTGTGTGCAGGTTCACAGAGAAGGGGAACCTGGAGGTCCTGCTGTTCACCATCCAGAGTAAGATGAGAGCCAACAACCAGAAGGTGTTCACACCGCGAGAGGGGAAGCTGATCTCAGACATCAACAAGGTGAGAGCTGCTCCCTCTGAGGCACTAGCTTCTCTGAAGGTCTATAAGGACATGTCTCTGAAGTGTCCTGCTCCAGACCCCAAACAGATCCTTGTAGCCCCCCCCCTCTCTTCCAGCTGTTACTAAGGACATGTCTCTGAAGTGTCCTGCTCCAGACCCCAAACAGATCCTTGTAGCCCCCCCCCTCTCTTCCAGCTGTTACTAAGGACATGTCTCTGAAGTGTCCTGCTCCAGACCCCAAACAGATCCTTGTAGCCCCCCCCCTCTCTTCCAGCTGTTACTAAGGACATGTCTCTGAAGTGTCCTGCTCCAGACCCCAAACAGATCCTTGTAGCCCCCCCCCCTCTCTCTTCCAGCTGTTACTAAGGACATGTCTCTGAAGTGTCCTGCTCCAAACAGATCCTTGTAGCCCCCCCCCTCTCTTCCCAGCTGTTACTAAGGACATGTCTCTGAAGTGTCCTGCTCCAAACAGATCCTTGTAGCCCCCCCCCTCTCTTCCAGCTGTTACTAAGGACATGTCTCTGAAGTGTCCTGCTCCAGACCCCAACAGATCCTTGTAGCCCCCCCCCCCCTCTCTTCCAGCTGTTACTAAGGACATGTCTCTGAAGTGTCCTGCTCCTAACCCCAAACAGATCCTTGTAGCCCCCCCCCCCCTCTCTTCCAGCTGTTACTAAGGACATGTCTCTGAAGTGTCCTGCTCCAGACCCCAAACAGATCCTTGTAGCCCCCCCCCCTCTCTTCCAGCTGTTACTAAGGACATGTCTCTGAAGTGTCCTGCTCCTAACCCCAAACAGATCCTTGTAGCCCCCCCCCCCCCTCTCTTCCAGCTGTTACTAAGGACATGTCTCTGAAGTGTCCTGCTCCAGACCCCAAACAGATCCTTGTAGCCCCCCCCCCCCCTCTCTTCCAGCTGTTACTAAGGACATGTCTCTGAAGTGTCCTGCTCCAAACCCCAAACAGATCCTTGTAGCCCCCCCCCCCTCTCTGTGCAGCTGAGACTTCTGCATGATAGGAGAGCTTTAAAACAGAGATGACGTTATGGAGCAAGTCCTCTCAGTCTGGATGGGGTCAGTAAGTCAGACCCCCCTGTGTTAGATAGTGATGTTGAGGGGGGCTGTAGGCCCTCTGGAGGTCTTCATGCAGCCTCTGTAATGACGCTGTCCCCCGTCAGGCGTGGGAGCGTCTGGAGAAGGCGGAGCATGAGCGGGAGCTGGCTCTGAGGATGGAGCTGATTCGTCAGGAGAAGCTGGAGCAGCTCGCCAGACGCTTCGACAGGAAGGCGGCCATGAGAGAGACGTGGCTGAGCGAGAACCAGAGGCTGGTGTCGCAGGTGAGACAGGAACCATGGATATTATGCTCCTCTGGATGCATTCAATCCTGTTTCTTTGTGTATTCAATATATATACTCTATAGATATATATCTTCCTTATTCATCACCACCGTGTATATTACCTTCTCCTTCATCTACATGCTGCTGGGACAAATCAAACTCCTCAGTTGGGATCCATAGAGTGCATCTTATCTTAAACTCAATGAACATCTCCAATAACCCTTTCCAGGATGTATGTTCCTCCTAACGTGATGAACTGTCTCCACAGGATAACTTTGGCTTCGACCTGCAGGCGGTGGACGCGGCCACCAAGAAGCACGAGGCCATCGAGACGGACATCACGGCGTACGAGGAGCGTGTCCAGGCCGTCCTATCGGTGGCCCGGGAGCTGGAGGCGGAGTCTTACCACGACATCAAGCGCGTGGCGGCCAGGAAGGAGAACGTGGTGCGGCTGTGGGAGTATCTGCTGGAGCTGCTGAAGGCCCGCCGGCTGCGGCTGGAGACCAACCTGGGGCTGCAGAGGGTCTTCCAGGAGATGCTGCACATCATGGACTGGATGGACGAGATGAAGGTCAGTCAACGTGCCAACATCTTCTTCAGAGAACTGGTTTGGATGGAGCCGTACTTCGTGGGTCCGATGTAACACTCACAACATTAAAGAATAAGAAAAGAGGAATGGATAACAGACACAGAGTACAGCAGGATCAGAGACAGATGACCTTAGACCAAAGCAGTCAATATCTCACAGGTTACATACACTTCAAACAGCATACATGTTCTGACCTGACACAGTCATATGTTGCATCCTCTGTCCCCTCGAACTTCTAATGATCCCAGCAACCTTCTAGTTGAAAGACGACCGCACTCCCTCGAATTGTAGAGACAGGAAGTAGCCTCACCCTCTCTTCCTGTGTCCAGATGCTGCTGCTGTCTCAGGACTACGGGAAGCACCTGCTGGGCGTGGAGGACCTGCTGCAGAAACACGCCCTGGTGGAGGCTGACATCTCCATCCAGGCCGACCGCGTGAAGGCCGTCAGCTCCAACGCCACCCGGTTCTCCGTCAGCGACGCTGGTGAGCAGACCTGGAACTCTACAGGTTTTACTCTTCAACACGGAGCAGTGTCTGTCCTTTCCTTCAGACTAGAGAAGAACATCATGCAGAGTTATTTCCTATAGTAATAATAATATCTGTTGTATATTTATACGTCTCTGTTTACTTCCTGTCAGGCTACAAGCCGTGCGACCCTCAGGTGATCGAGGACCGGGTCTCTCACCTGGAGTTCTGCTACCAGGAGCTGACCCAGCTGGCTGCGGAGCGCCGGTCCCGGCTGGAGGAGTCCCGCCGCCTCTGGAAGTTCTTCTGGGACATGGCGGAAGAGGAGGGCTGGATCCGGGAGAAGGAGCAGATCCTGTCCTCGTTGGAGAACGCCAAAGACCTGACGGGTTCTCTAAGACTGCTGAGTCAGCAGCGAGCGCTGGAGCACGAGATGAGCGGCCGCAACGGACTCCTGAAGAACACCATCGCTGAGGGCCAGGACATGGTGCGTGGGAAGAGACGGACCTGAGTCCTAAACCCTGACATGAGTCAGCATTATGAGTCCTGAGCCCTGACATGAGTCAGCATTATGAGTCCTGAGCCCTGACATGAGTCAGCATTATGAGTCCTAAAACATGACTCAGCATTATGAGTCCTAAAACATGAGTCAGCATTATGAGTCCTGAACCCTGACATCAGGGGCGGACTGGCCATTGGGAATACCGGGAGTTTCCCCTTCTTTTGTTTTGCCTAAATCCTACCGGCCCACATTTGTAAGTGTCCACTCCCTGGAGGGAGACGGGGTTCAGGGGAGGGGCTGTACCCGTAGGATAGAAAAGGGGGAAGTGACGTCTGACTCAGAGGTCATGCGGCTGTGGAGAAGAACGTGTTGCCCACATTCTGTTACTGAGTTTAGGCTAGTTAGCTAGCAGGTTTATTGTTTTGGGTGCAGTCACTTTTGCCTCCACTTGCTGTTCAAATACATGTTGAAAGAAAAAGTAAATCTGTTTACAGTTCTGTTCCATATGGGTGTTGAGAGATGTATCCATAGATTTAGTCCCTAATTTTGCTCTCAAAGTGCACCAGACATTTAAAACAAAATCTTCCCGGGGGAGCATGCCCCCGGACCCCCCTAAAGGAGGTGAGGTCCACCACCTGCCCACACCCCTTGTTAAATGGTCTCACCCACATTGAGGATGCTTCCTACGCCCATGTTTTATTCCATGTGTCAAGTCAGGCAAATTGGGTCCAAATGTTATTGCATCAATGATCTGTTAAAGATCACTAAATATATGCTGTAACTATTTTTGCTCTAGGCAACTCAAGGGCTCAGGTAATGTGATTGTTATCTGAACAATGGTCCAAAATAACATCAGATGCATAGGGTCTTTTGTTAAGTAACATACTTTCGTCGCCGGCCGGCCGATACATGCCGCGCATTAAGTGGGCCTGTCTGTCAATTAATCCCCGGGCCACTTTTTCCCCCCAGTCCGCCCCTGGTCAGCATTATGAGTCCTGAGCCCTGACATGAGTCAGCATTATGAGTCCTAAACCCTGACATGAGTCAGCATTATGAGTCCTAAAACATGAGTCAGCATTATGAGTCCTAAACCCTGACATGAGTCAGCATTATGAGTCCTGAACCCTGTCATGAGTCAGCATTATGAGTCCTGAACCCTGACATGAGTCAGCATTATGAGTCCTAAAACATGAGTCAGCATTATGAGTCCTAAACCCTGACATGAGTCAGCATTATGAGTCCTAAAACATGAGTCAGCATTATGAGTCCTGAACCCTGACATGAGTCAGCATTATGAGTCCTAAAACATGAGTCAGCATTATGAGTCCTGAACCCTGACATGAGTCAGCATTATGAGTCCTAAACCCTGACATGAGTCAGCATTATGAGTCCTGAGCCCTGACATGAGTCAGCATTATGAGTCCTGAGCCCTGACATGAGTCAGCATTATGAGTCCTAAACCCTGACATGAGTCAGCATTATGAGTCCTGAACCCTGTCATGAGTCAGCATTATGAGTCCTAAAACATGAGTCAGCATTATGAGTCCTAAACCCTGACATGAGTCAGCATTATGAGTCCTAAAACATGAGTCAGCATTATGAGTCCTGAACCCTGACATGAGTCAGCATTATGAGTCCTAAAACATGAGTCAGCATTATGAGTCCTGAACCCTGACATGAGTCAGCATTATGAGTCCTAAACCCTGACATGAGTCAGCATTATGAGTCCTGAACCCTGTCATGAGTCAGCATTATGAGTCCTAAAACATGAGTCAGCATTATGAGTCCTAAACCCTGACATGAGTCAGCATTATGAGTCCTAAAACATGAGTCAGCATTATGAGTCCTGAACCCTGACATGAGTCAGCATTATGAGTCCTAAACCCTGACATGAGTCAGCATTATGAGTCCTAAACCCTGACATGAGTCAGCATTATGAGTCCTAAACCCTGACATGAGTCAGCATTATGAGTCCTGAACCCTGTCATGAGTCAGCATTATGAGTCCTAAACCCTGACATGAGTCAGCATTATGAGTCCTAAACCCTGACATGAGTCAGCATTATGAGTCCTAAACCCTGACATGAGTCAGCATTATGAGTCCTAAACCCTGACATGAGTCAGCATTATGAGTCCTAAACCCTGACATGAGTCAGCATTATGAATAGTGATCTCCTTCTGATTCCTTTACTACAACATTGTATAACATTGTATTTCGTCACACGACCACAGGTGCAGGCCGGACACTTTGCCGCCACAAAGATCCAGGAGCGTGTGTGCGACCTGCAGGACCAGTGGGCGGCTCTGGAGCGCCTGGCAGCGGCGAGGAAGAGGAAGCTGGAGGAGGCTCTGGCGCTTCATCAGTTCCAGACGGACGCAGACGACGTGGACGCCTGGACGCTGGACGCCCTGCGCATCGTGTCCAGCGGAGAGACCGGCCACGACGAGTTCTCCACGCAGGCGCTGGTCCGGAAGCACAAGGACGCGGCGGCGGAGGTCTCCAGCTACCGGTCCGTCATCGACTCGCTGCAGGAGCAGGCCGCCGCGCTGCCGGAGGAGGAGGCGCAGTCTGAGGAGGTCCGCGGGCGCCTGGCCGGCATCGAGGAGCGATACAAGGAGGTGTCGGAGCTGACGAAGCTGAGGAAGCAGGCGCTGCAGGACGCGCTGGCGCTCTACAAGATGTTCAACGAGGCTCACGCCTGCCAGGTCTGGATCGACGAGAAGGAGCAGTGGCTGAACAGCATGGAGATCCCCGAGAAGCTGGAGGACCTGGAGGTGATCCAGCACCGCTTCGAGAGCCTGGAGCCGGAGATGAACAACCAAGCGTCCCGGGTCGCCGTGGTGAACCAGATCGCCCGGCAGCTGAAGCACAACGGACACCCGAGCGAGACAGACATCAAGACGCAGCAGGACCAACTCAACAACAGGTAGGAACGACATTTCATAAAAAACACAGAGGGAGACTTTTTGAATATAAATGAATCATTTAAATTAATTTTACATTCAGCATGAGAAGCTAAACGGAAGTGAGAGACCCAAACAAACTATAAAGAAGGCAAATCTGAGATTTCATTTAGCTCCAGCTCTCGACACAGGTTGGGGAAAGCCCCGTGAGCTTCTCGCTGTAGAGTGAACATGGAACACACGCTATGTGTTGTTGGTTTATATCACGCAGTCTGTTCTTCTTCTCTCAGTTATCACGCAGTCTGTCTTCCAGTTGTTGCCTCTTTTGAATGACGAATACACACTACCGCCGCCTGCTGGTAAGGAGAGTTATTGCCACTCAGTTCGTACGTGCAACTTGGCCGTCGGCTGAAGTCTTTGCGGTGTGTTCCAGTGTGACACATGGCCAAGACGCAGGAGACGTGAGGCGACGTTCTGTCGGGACGTGTTCTTTGGTGTCAGTTTGGTGTGTAAGGAGCTTTAGAGTCCTTCAGTCCTCAGAGTTTCAGAAGGCTGTGGGTCTACCTGTGGGTCTACCTGTGGGTCTACCTGTGGGTCTACCTGTGGTCTACCTGTGGGTCTACCTGTGGGTCTACCTGTGGTCTACCTGTGGGTCTACCTGTGGGTCTACCTGTGGGTCTACCTGTGGGTCTACCTGTGGTCTACCTGTGGGTCTACCTGTGGGTCTACCTGTGGGTCTACCTGTGGTCTACCTGTGGGTCTACCTGTGGGTCTACCTGTGGTCTACCTGTGGGTCTACCTGTGGTCTACCTGTAGTCTACCTGTGGGTCTACCTTTGGAGTTATTGATTGTCTCTCTGCTGCAGGTGGAGCCAGTTCAGAGACCTGGTGGACCTGAAGAAGGAGTCCCTGAACTCGGCGCTCGGCGTGCAGAACTACCACCTGGAGTGCAACGAGACCAAGTCGTGGATCAAGGAGAAGACCAAGGTGATCGAGTCCACGCAGGAGCTGGGCAACGACCTGACAGGTGTCATGGCGCTGCAGCGCAAACTCACCGGCATGGAGCGAGATCTCGCCGCCATCGAGGACAAGCTGGGAGACCTGCGGGGCGAGGCAGAGCGTCTGGCCACAGAGCACCCGGACCAGGCCAAGGCCATCACGGGCCGGCTGGCGGAGATCACAGCGGTCTGGGAGGAGATGAAGAACACCCTGAAGACCCGCGAGGAGTCTCTGGGTGAGGCCAGGAAGCTGCAGCAGTTCCTGCGCGAGCTGGACGACTTCCAGTCCTGGCTGTCTCGCACACAGACCCTCATCGCCTCCGAGGACATGCCCAACACGCTGGCCGAGGCCGAGAAGCTGATGGCGCAGCACGAGGGCATCAAGAACGAGGTGCAGAACTACGAGGAGGACTACCAGAAGATGCGGGACATGGGCGAGCTGGTGACCCAGGGCCAGACGGACGCCCAGCATATGTTCCTGAGGCAGCGGCTGGAGGCGCTGCACACCGGCTGGAACGAGCTGCACAAGATGTGGGAGAACCGGCAGAACCTTCTGACCCAGAGCCACGCGTACCAGCTGTTCCTCAGGGACACCAAGCAGGCCGAGGCCTTCCTCAACAACCAGGTACGGGACACATTAGACCAGGATCCTGAGGCTCTAGAGATCAGGAGGGGCAGAGGTTAGAGGACAGTGAAGTGATGCAGCTCTCTAACTGTCCTCACCTGTCCTCTCCTCTCCTCTCCTCTCCTCTCCTCCCCTCTCCTCTCCTCTCCTCTCCTCTCCTCTCCTCTCCTCTCCTCTCCTCTCCTCTCCTCTCCTCTCCTCTCCTCTCCTCACCTCTCCTCTCCTCTCCTCTCCTCACCTGTCCTCTCCTCTCCTCCTCTCCTCACCTCTCCTCCCCTCTCCTCTCCTCTCCTCTCCTCTCCTCTCCTCTCCTCTCCTCTCCTCTCCTCCCCTCTCCTCTCCTCTGCTCTCCTCTCCTCTCCTCTCCTCCTCCTCTCCTCTCCCTCCCCTCTCCTCTGCTCTCCTCTCCTCTCCTCTCCTCTCCTCTCCTCTCCTCTCTCCTCTCCTCCCCTCTCCTCTCCTCTCCTCTCCTCTCCTCTCCTCTCCTCCCCTCTCCCTGCAGGAGTACGTTCTGGCTCACACGGAGATGTCCTCCACGCTGGAAGGAGCTGAGGCAGCCATCAAGAAGCAGGAGGACTTCATGACCACGATGGACGCCAACGAGGAGAAGATAAACGGCGTGGTGGAGGCGGGGCGGCGTCTCGCCAGCGACGGGAACATCAACGCTGAGAGAATCCAGGAGAGAGTCGCCTCCATCGACGAAAGGTACGCCGAGAGGGCAGATCTACACACATCCTTTACTCAAGTAGAAGTACAGATACTCCTGTTTAAAGATACTCTGGTGAAAGTAGAAGTACAGATACTCCTGTTTAAAGATACTCTGGTGAAAGTAGAAGTACAGATACTCCTGTTTAAAAATACTCTGGTGAAAGTAGAAGTACAGATACTCCTGTTTAAAAATACTCTGGTGAAAGTAGAAGTACAGATACTCCTGTTTAAAAATACTCTGGTGAAAGTAGAAGTACTGATACTCCTGTTTAAAGATACTCTGGTGAAAGTAGAAGTACTGATACTCCTGTTTAAAGATACTCTGGTGAAAGTAGAAGTACAGATACTCCTGTTTAAAAATACTCTGGTGAAAGTAGAAGTACAGATACTCCTGTTTAAAAATACTCTGGTGAAAGTAGAAGTACAGATACTCCTGTTTAAATATACTCTGGTGAAAGTAGAAGTACTGATACTCCTGTTTAAAGATACTCTGGTGAAAGTAGAAGTACTGATACTCCTGTTTAAAGATACTCTGGTGAAAGTAGAAGTACTGATACTCCTGTTTAAAGATACTCTGGTGAAAGTAGAAGTACAGATACTCCTGTTTAAAGATACTCTGGTGAAAGTAGAAGTACTGATACTCCTGTTTAAAGATACTCTGGTGAAAGTAGAAGTACTGATACTCCTGTTTAAAAATAACGGTTCTGGGGTCACGGTTCGGTACGTACCTCGGTTTGGGGGTCACGGTTCGGTACGTACCTCGGTTTGGGGGTCACGGTTCGGTATCAGATGCCTTCTGATATGATTTAGCATGTTTGGCGTGTGTTACCATTAGCATACCGCACCGCTGTCGAACAACGCCGACACACCGCCCTCGTCCGATCCACCACTCGCACTCCATCGTTGTTGTAGTCCACAGGGAACCCGAAATGTTCCCACACAGCTGATTTAAAAGAAGCAGGTGGGTCTTCTAGCTCCTGTGTGTTATCTGAACTCGCCATACTAACTTTTCTTCTTCTTGTATTTTGTTCGTTTTGTTGTGTTTTCTTCTTCTTCTTCATTTGTTGTTTAACCTCTTAAGCACGGCGGTCCCCCCATTGGACCCCTCCCTCCGTTTTTTTTTTCGAAATAATGTCTCAGGGCTTCTTAACATTTATGAAACTATTAATGTGTAGCACCAGATTAACGGGAAGAATCTCAGCTAACTGAAGATATGAACCATTTTTACCAAAACAAAACACAAGTCTCATAAGAAGCGTCTAAATGACCCCTGAGCGAAAATATTCTAACGCACTGCGGCACACAATTCAAGATAAAGATACCCTTATTACTTATCGTAGCTGCACATACAATATAGCCGATTAAAGCTGAGACTCCACTGATTATTTAGGTATAGTATCATCACTGAGCGATCCGAACTTGCGACAGGGGAAGCAAACACAGACATCACAACACGTACCTTTACGGAGCTTTTACGGCAGATCGTCTCACCGTAGCTGTCAATTAGGTCAAAAGACGTGTTCAATGGCATTAAAACGGAAAAAAAAATGCTACAACTGTTGATCCATAGGTTGATAATGTACCTGTGCCTTTCAAGAAATTATTTATAATCCATAATTCCATTTTTTATGTAAAAATCGGAGCGGAAAAGTTAGCTGCTAATGGTAGCCACCAGAGTGTATGCAGCTTCCGGTTTTGGTAACGCGTCACTCTCACTCCTTATTTGTTAACGTTTTGGTGTGTATATAACTTTCCCTCGATTCCATTGGCTCTAGCGGTTATAAAGAGCTTTCATTCATCAAAATCGACCAAGGGGGGCCAGAGATAGGTCAAATCAGGGACGGGTGGCGCAGTGGTCTGTGCGTCTGATCATCAGATCAAGGGGGCGTTGGGGAACTCCAGTTCGAAACCCGCTCCCGCCGCCACTGCGTCAGGCCGTTGTGTCCTTGGGCAAGACACTTCACCCGAATTTGCTCCTGTGGGTATTGTCCACAGTACACGTATGATATTAAATGTGTACTTGTAAAAGCGCCTCGATGACTTCGAGGTGTGAAGATGGCCGGTGTGGCGCAGTGCGCTGTGCAATGATCATCAGATCAAGGGGGTCAAACCCGCCGCCGCTGCGTCTGTAAAGCCGTTGTGTCCTTGGACAAGACACCTCACCTGAACTTGCTCCTGTGGGTATTGTCCACAGTAGACCATTACATGTATGTATGATCTGTATGTGTAATGTGTACCTGTAAAGCGCTTTGAGTCATTGATAAAGCGCTATAATAAATATAAAGATTATTATTATTATTATTATTATTATAAATCCACCCAAATGACCCCAGAAGTGGGGGTTTTTTGCTAAATCTCTCTAAAAAGGTCAAATGTCACTTGTTTTGCATCAATCTTGATACAGGGTACTTATTATATGTTGTACTTTGGATTCCTAAAGCTTTTAGTCTACTAACCCATCATCCAAGGGTAGTTTTCACTATAAGTAAAAAAGAATTTTTGGACGGACACTATAATTTACAGTTTTTTACTATGTAAAATCTGAATTTTCTTTAAAATAAAAAACATCTATATTGATTCTGACTTTTCTACATCCAACTCACAGGTTTATCATTACTTTGAGAAAAAAGATTATTAATTTAACCCTTTTAGAAGGGAAGATATGGTCATTTGTTCTGGGAATGTCATTTTCGAGCCTGAGACCTGAAAAACAGGCTCAGGGCTTAACAGGTTAAGGGCGGCTGGCAGACAACCTTTAGGCGCAATACCGCCCCCTGGATTATATATAGTGTAGTGGATACTACCCTGAGTGACAGACTTTTTTCCCACTCGTAAAAAAAGGCGTATTCGTCGTGTGACTGCATGCACCGAACCGTGACGTCCGAACCGTGACGGTACGGGACGAATACGGATACCGTTACACCCCTACTAGCAGCTGTTTTAAAGAGTACCTGACCTCCCTTTATATTAATAGAACAATAATGTCATTGTTAGCTAATGTGTTACGATATCCGATAGGACCCAAACGCAGGACACGGCAGAGTGTTGGAAAAAGGTTTATTGTGAGGTGGAGGAGCGTGGAGAGTAATCCTGTAGGAATGAAGACTGGTGAGTGTGGAGAGTAATCCGGTTGGAATGATGACTGGTGGCGGCAGGTGATGGTAACAAGGCGGCTGGATAGTGATCCTGGAGCATAAGAGAAACAGATGAGAAAAGTATTCCGTGTACAGAGAAATAGTTTTAAATCGGCTAAGAAGGCTGAGAGTTACCACTGGGGTTTAAACAACGATCTGGCGCTGACATGTTGTGGAGCCTCCGCTGATATACCATTAGTAAATGGCTGAATGGGAATCAGGTGTGTAAAGCTGATTGCAGCAGGTGGAGATTTGCAGCAGGTGGAGATTGAGCCGGGAGCCAGGAGTGACAGCCACCACGCCCACACAGACAGGGAAAGGGAACACACACTCACAACGGAGGTGGCTGAAGAGTAGAGCCACCACAGTACCCCCCTCTTAAGGGACGCCTCCAGGCGGTCTACCAGGTCTACCAGGTCTACCAGGTCTACCAGGTCTACCAGGTCTACCAGGGTTATCCCGGTGGAAGTCCCGAACCAGGGACGCGCCCACGATGTTTCGCCGGGGAACCCAAGACCTCTCCTCTGGACCATAGCCCTCCCAATCCACAAAATATTGGAATCCCCTTCCACGGCGACGAACGTCCAACAATCGCCTGACGGTGTAGGTTGGGTGATCATTGATGATGCGGGGGGGTGGGGGAACACTCACTGGAGGAGACAAGGGGCTGCTGGCAACAGGTTTTAACAGAGAAACATGAAATGTCGGATGAACCTTCATGTGTGGGGGAAGCTTGAGTTTTACTGCAGATGGGTTGATAACTGAGTCGATGATGAAGGGGCCGACATAACGTGGCGTGAGTTTCTTCGACTCTGTCTTGAGTGGGAGATCTTTGGAGGAAAGCCAAACACTCTGACCTGGTAAGTAGTTGGGAGCCGGGGTCCTGTGGCGGTCTGCGATGAGGCAGTTGCGGGCAGCGGAGCGGAGCAGGGCGGCTCGGGTATCCCTCCACACCTTATGACAGCGACGAAGGTGGGTCTGAACGGAAGGAACAGCAACCTCCTCTTCCTGGGATGGAAACAGGGGTGGTTGGAAACCCATGGCACAATGAAAGGGTGAAATACCTGTGGCTGCATTTGGCAGGGAGTTGTGGGCATATTCGATCCATGGCAGATGTGGGCACCATGACGAAGGGTTCCTGAAAGCCACACAGCGAAGAGCCGCCCCCAGATCCTGGTTGGCCCGTTCCGTTTGCCCGTTCGTCTGAGGATGATATCCAGATGACAGGCTCACTGATGCTCCCAGAGCCTGACAGAAGGCTTTCCAAACGTGGGAAATGAACTGGGGACCCCGGTCAGAGACGATGTCGGTGGGAATCCCATGGAGTCGAACAACATGATTGACCAGAAGATCTGCAGTCTCTCGGGCTGTGGGAAGCTTGGGAAGAGCAACAAAGTGTACCATCTTGGAAAATCTGTCCACAATAGTTAGGATGATGGTATTTCCTTGTGACAGTGGAAGTCCAGTGACAAAATCCAAGGCCACATGCGACCAAGGACGCCTAGGTACCGGCAGCGGCCGAAGCAGGCCAGAGGGAGATTGGTGGGAGGACTTGGCGCGGGCACATACTGTACAGGCAGCAACAAAGGCCCTGGTGTCTTGAGCCATGGAAGGCCACCAGAACCGTTGTTTTAGAATAAACAGTGTGCGATGGACACCAGGATGACAGGAGAGACGGGAGGCGTGTGCCCACTGCAGGACCTTGGAGCGAACAGGGTAGGCACAAAAAGACTATTAGCTGGGCAGTTACCTGGGTTAGGTTGCGCCCGCTGAGCCTCCTTAACCAATGACTCAATCTCCCAGGTAACAGCCGCCACCACGCAGGAGGCAGGCAGGATAGTGTCTGGATTGGCAGCTGGTCCT